ATGTATATGGCGTATTATTATCCCTCAGGCAAAAAGTAGAAGCGACAGTAGCGCACAAAATATTCGCCTGGGCTGCCTGTCGGATCCTGAACTGATCTAACGAAGTAAAATAGGACGAAAGAATGGAGAAGGGGGGTGCGGTAGAGAAGCAATGGGTTCGTCACAGCCTCAATGTTCACTCCAACTAATTATATAGTTGTATATATTTGGATAGCCACTATAGTGACACGCTGCACTCTATTCGGATTGGAAATATTTATTCCTTGCGAGGTGGCACCATTTAAAGATCCTCCAGCCACAAGACTCCGCCGCAACGTGGGAATCGGAAAGAGGGTGAATGGGACGGCAATAGTAAAAAAATATATATTCGTCTTATCGCTATCGGTTCGTTGATTCCTTCCATCGCGGTCCTCCAAAGGATGCATAAGAAAGGAAGGAATCGCACAGAAATGTATTCATCCCATCAAGGCATGTATTAAATTAATTATAGAGCCTTCCCCAGAAACACGCATTTCACAAGCTCATAATAATAAAAAAACAGCACGCACCTCTTTTAATTTGGTCTTCTTTTTGTTTGTTATATTGTTTGTTTGTTATTAAACTTCACTGTCGTTTAATGTTCGCTCCTAGTTACCTCCCCCATTAATCCCTCCCTCCATGTATCTTCCATGATATTTCACTTGGGTCCGAAAGCACACGTCATATCCCCAGAGTGAAGCAGTCTCTTTGTTCTACTCTTCTCCTCCCTCCTCGTTTCACTTCCAAGAAGTTATTCTTAACATGTGCGGATCCACTGACTCTACTTACCCGCCCGGCCACCACAGCACAGACAGACGATTGTTTCGTGTGGCCGCAGCTGCGAGGAAGTGTGCGTCCGATACTGAAACGGTAAAAAAAAAAAAAAAAGAGTAGCAGCAGAAATTGTCGCATCTTCGTCCTGTGTTATGGGTGCATTTGGGGTGAGAAAAAGTGGGCGCCGCCCTCCTACAACTTGGAGGTGAACAAGTTCTTCTCAAATGAGTGCAGCGAGTGGACACCGCCTTCCATCTGGGCAATGGGACTGCGGCGGTTAAATAAAACCTGCCCCTCGTACATCTTCTCACGCACGGCGTCAAAACCGATCTCACCAATGTCTTGAGCTGACTGCTGCAGACCCTTGTGTATGTACGCAAGGAGCTTCGTCACAGAACCCTTGTCCAGCACTGTTCCAGACACGCCTTGTGCCACCTGGACAGTCTCTTTCTCTGATAGATAACGCTTACCGGACTCCTTTCCCTGCGACATGGCTTCAAGACTTCCCATACCACGGTATGCCTTAAGGCGAAGGCCCTCCTTAAAGAAGTAGCTGCCTGGAGTCTCTGAAGTACCAGCAAGCATGGAGCCAAGCATAGCGGTGTTTGCACCAATAGCAAGAGCTTTGCAAATGTCACCAACACTTCGCAGACCACCATCCGCAATGCATGGCACCCCTCGTGATGCGGCATAGCGGCACACCTTGTACACTGCTGTAGCCTGTGGACGGCCACATGCAAGGACTTCCTGCGTGATACAAATGCTTCCGCTTCCCATACCAATCCGGATGGCGTCAGCACCAGCATCAATAAGATTCTTGGCCTGGTCCTGCGTCACGACGTTACCCGCCACCACCTCCAAATGAGGAAATGTCTTCTTCACCCACTTTATAAATGATACCTGGTAGAATGTGTTGCCTTGCGAACTGTCCAACAAAAGGACGTCGACGCCGGCACCAGCAAGGGCCGCTACGCGTGCCTTATCCTCCTCCCGTGTGGAGGTCGCAGCTGCACACAGAAGGTGTCCGTTACGATCAAGACTGCTGTTCGGATAGACACGAGCACGCACGGCATCCCGACGAGAACAGAGGCACATGACTTCCCCCTTGTCATTCAAGACTGGCAGGTACCCGTGTCGGCTGCGGTTCAACACATCCATCGCCTCTTCTAGTCGAATAGGGTACCGCTCCACTGTCATGCTTTCGCGTTTTGTCATAAATTGCGACACCGGCAATGACACATCCTTCACAAAATCAATGTCCTTTGAGCAGACAATGCCGAGCAGTTTGCCGTCGTGTCGGCCATTCTCCGTCACCAAGATACCGCTGATTCCTTTTTCGGCGTTTATCTCATGAATGACAGAGATGGGCGTTTCCGGGCCCACCGACTTGGGTTTCATAATGAAGCCGTTACGAAACATCTTGACACTCCGCACCATCTGCACCTGGTGTTGGACGGTGCAGTTGTTATGGAGCACACCGATGCCCCCCATCAACGCCATCGTGCGTGCCATCTCACTCTCCGTCACGGTGTCCATCGGGGAAGAGACGATGGGAATATGCAACCGGATCTTTTTCGTGAATTGCCCCGAAACCTGCACATCTGATGCGCCAAAGTCAATAAATCCCGGAAGAATAATGAAGTCGCTGTACGTGAGGCCGTCGCTCTGAAACAACTCCTCGGCCGTGACGCCGTCCCGTATCGTTTTTGTGCGGAGGTCAACATTCGCCATCGTTCCTACTGCTTGCGTGCGGCTATGCGTGCGTGAAGAGAAGTGCTCGCGAGTGTATTAATTCTCTCTTTCTCGAAGAGTAACCCGAGAACCGGTAAAAAGAAAAAAAGGCATGAAAAAAAAAAAAATATATATATATATATACATAAATACATATATATTTATGTGTCAACAAGAAGGAAAAGAAGTGGGAAAAAGTCCCCATTCCCACGGTGAAACACACGGGAGGCAGCGCACCTCTCCCCGCCGTTCTATTCCCGGGGAGAGACGCTTAATTCTCTTCTCCCGCCCACTCAGTCAACAATCCTTTTTTTTTTTGCTTTTTTTTTGCTTGTGTGAGTATATGTCCATCATCCCCCTGCTGCTCTCCTTCCTTTTCTGCCTCACCGCACCTCCCCCTCCGCTCTATTTTCCCTCTCCTCCGTCGACTCGTCATGAAAAAAAAAATGACGGCGGCAGCACACAGAGAGACTGGGAGATCACTGTAGGAGCGACAGTTTCGTCACAAGCACAACACGGATGCTCTGGTCAAACGAGGCACAAACCAACAGCCCCTCCTTCGCGCGGTTCCAATCAAGCGCGTGTATCGGCTGGTCACCCAACTTCGCCCTGTTGAGCTCCTCAACGCTTCCAGCAACACCCTTCGCAACGCCCTCGGGATCCCGCAGCATGCGCTCCGGTGGGTAGCGGTAACGGCAGAGCGTCAATTCACCACCACCACCAGACATGAACACTTCACGGTTCTGAGGCAGCGCGCGGGTGCACCACACGGTGCCATTTGACACCCGCTCCTCCACGTACGCGTAACCCAAATTTGGATGGAGCGTCCGCATATCGTACACGCGCACGCGGCCTTCCAGTGACGAGACAATCAGTTTGTTCATGTTGATATCCGGGCGATCAAACTCCAGGTCACACACGCCGTTGTTCACATTGAACTCGTGGAGCATCTTCTGCATGCGCATGTCAAATAACTTCACGTCTCCGTTGTCGTACCCGGCCGCAACGACGCGCTCATCAGGATCAAAGCTGTTCCCAAAGCGAACAGTCCAACAGTCACGCGCGTGGGCGGGGTTGGCGGGGTTCAGAGCAACCACTGGCTTATTCGACTGACGTACATCCCATACTTTCACGCAACCGTCACGCCCACAAGTCGCAATCTCTGGTGGGCCGGAGTGCTGTGCACCGTCAACAGCATTGATAATGTTCTCGTGTGCATGTGGTACAAGAAAGAGCGGATCAGCGTCGAGCCGTTCAATGTCCCAGAGAGACAGACCACCTGCGAAGTCACCAGTGCATAGTGTTATGTTCGACTGCCAGTTGGAGGTGTTGTGACCAAAGGTAGAGCATTTTATAGGCATATTGCCCTTGATTTCGCACTGCACGCTCAGTTCACCCTTGTTAAGCTGCAGGACCGATATGGCGCCTTTGTTATTCGGATACTGGCCCACCACAGCAAAGGACGCGCTGCGCGGCACCCACTTCACGTCGAAGGCTGTATAAAGAAGATTCTTCTTGACATGTTCAATAATCTGCTGCCGTGAAAAACGTCGCTGCTCCTCACGCTTCCGTTCCTTTTCTTCCTCCTCTGTCAGGTACGACATGCCGGCCGCCAACTACGCTTCTCGGTGGCACTGAGAGCGAAGAGAAAAGGGCACGTTACGGGCAGTGAAATCGGCATGAGCAAAAGACGTCAGCAACTCCCATGACGCAGCGGCAGCAGTACACACTCACACACGAACAGACAGAAACACGAAGCAAATTAATATCATGAAAAAAAGCAAAAAAAAAAAAAAAGTGAGGAGGGCTATCATCAAGATCACAACCCATGCACTGTCACAACTGCCGTAGTACGCACCAAGAAACAAACGGAAATAAATCAAACGCAACAAAACAAAAAATTGTGGTACCAATGATAATAAACACTCCGTTTTGTCAGATCGCCTTCTCCCCAGATATCCTTTGCGTTCTTCATTGCGTTTCTCTCCGCTCGCCCCCTTATGCGCCAAGGGACCAACCATGAGTGATTCCCCGCCCAACAGCTCCCGCCACCGCCAGCAGCGACAGGAGCACCTCAACCAACCACGCAGGCACACAAATGTACATGGTGTCTGGATCTGTTCAAAGGTCTCGTTAGTCACATGCAGGCTCACTTCACATGCTGCAACCTCCTGCCCTGTTGCTTTACAGGCGCCCTGTCCGAGAAAAAAGCCCAGCGACAACCCGATCCGACCAGCAAATGAGCAATGCAAAAGGATTATCAGCACACATGAAAAAAAAACCGAAAAAAGACACAAGGCAAAAATATATATATCACGGTGGCGCGGCTGAAAGAAAGGGCAGAAAAGACAACAAACCCAAAAAAAAAAAAAAGATGGAAAGGGGGATGTGAGAAAAAGTGTATCGGCGTAAAGCCAGAAAAAGAAATATATTTATATTTATATTTACACATCTTTGCTTATGTGGTTTATGCAACGCAAAAATACACGCCGAACAAATTTATCTTCCGGCCATTTTCAAACCTTTTTTATTTTTGTTCTTCTTGCGATCTGGGGCGAGGGGCTTTCAGGGGCGCAGCAAGACGCAGAGAAATGAAGGAGACACTATATTCCCAGCGCCGCACGTAGCTGCTCCTCCCAGACTGCTGCCTGTGGTGTCTGGAAAAAACACCAGTTCGCCCCCTCGATCTTCAGCGCAAAGTGGTTGGGATCAATGCAGGCCACCTGTTCCACCCGCAGCAGCGGGATGCATCCCCGGAAGCCGACTCTCCCACCGGGTCGAAGCAGCAGCGACAATTGACCGTCCGCCAGCTCCATGTAGCGTTCCTGATAATCCTGCGTCGGCTTGAGCTTCCACACCATGCCAGAAAAGAGCACGGAGTGGTCCAGCCGTGGACGAGGCAGCAGCTGCTCAGGGCTAATGTCATGCAAGACGTGCTGCAACAACGAATCCTCCACATCAGAGACTCTTAGAACCTCCGGAAAGCTACTCAGCGCTGCGACGAGGAGGGGCTCGCGCAGAAGTTGAGTGGTGTCTGGACGCTCCACGGACGACTTGCGGAGTAGTGCGTACACGATGCGCTTCAACTCCACACTGTGCGAAGTCTTTATGGGCGGCACCTCCTCATGAAGAACCTTGTGGCGCAGCTCCTCATACTTGGTGCCCTCAAACGGGTGTCTGCCGGTCATGGCCTCGTACAGGATAACACCAAGCGACCAAATATCGGCGGCCGCTCCGTAGCGCTCATTCCGCCATAATTCTGGCGCAACGTAAGCGGGGGTGCCGCATATGGTGAGGCCCACGTCACCACTGATGGTGTCATACGCGTTGCTGAGGCCAAAGTCTCCCAGCTTCAAGAGTCCCGTCGTTTTCAAGAGAACATTGGCAGGTTTGAGATCACGATGGAGAATCTTTTTCTTCGTATGGAGGTAGTGAAGGGCCAGGACAAGCTGTAGCAGAATATGAACTATCTGGTGCTCCAGCAGCTTCCCGCCATCGTGCATCTGATAGCGTAAATCGCCGGCGTCACAGTACTCCATGACGAAAAAAAAGTTCGACTCTGTCTCAAGCTTCTCGTGAAGCCGAATGCATGCAAAGTGGTCAATAGACTCCAAACAGCGCACTTCTGTCCGCACCCGCAACAACTTTGGTTCACGGTAATTTTTAAGAGAAGTTATCTTCAGTGCATATGGTGTTCCGTCGCTCACATCCAGCACCTTCCACGTCTCCCCGGAACTGCCATGCGCCAAGTAACGTACATACGTGTACTTGGAGTCTGTGGACCCACTGCATCCAAGAAACCCCGGCACGAGGATATGGCCTGTCGCACCTCTCGTTCCCGACTCCGGCTGCATCAAGCTCTAAAACAAAAGCCCAGAGGGGCCCCACGCCGAGAAGCAACTCTACGGTTTTGTTATTATTATTATTATTATTATTATTATTATTATTTTAGTTGATTGTTACTTTGGACAGCAAGAAGGGAGGAAGAAGAAGAAGAGACAAATGCGGAGAATCGCGCAGGCACAAGAAAAACAAAATAAATTAAAAGAAATATATAAAAGAAATAAAAAAAAAGGAAATGCAAGCAAAACAATGCGAGTTACGACGGCTCTCGTTGCCCCTCTTCCCGCTTGCGCACACGTGGCACCTCGCCGCACAATAGACATTAACGACCTCGGAAGTGGCCGCAGAAAAAAAAAAGAAAAAAGGGAAATCACCCGCCCCACATATATATATATATATACATGAGGGAAAAAAGCTCCAAAAAGGCCTTCTGAACACCCCCTTCACACAATTTCGCCCAATAATAAAAGGGGATGACCGACGAAAGTGCATGTGAAAAAAATTTGCTGCGTAAAACGACGATGAAAATCCAAGTGTGACAGTAAACGTAATCGCCAACGGTAGAAGTAGCCGTATTGAATATTTTCGTTGCGTTACGAGACAAAAAAGTAAAAAAAAAAAAGAAAAAAGGAGGGAGACAGTACCGCTTGCACCAAATAATAAATAGGAGGGGAGAAGACTGTCTCTTCTGCTTTCTGCCTTCGCGTGCATCTGTGAGTGCAGAAATTCATGAACAAGGTATAATACGGACGCCGAGAAAAAACACACAAAAAAAAAGGGATCGAAAATGGAAAGTAAGCATTGATTTACATCCGAATTGCGTGACTATCATCGCTCATGCTCGCTGCTCTCTTCGGGGGGCTGCCTCTTAATTCCATCCTGTAAGTGCAGCCATATCACGCAGTGCCCTCGTAATGTGCTCCGCAAGCCGCGTCGAAGAAGTCGATTTGCAGCTGTGCTTCGAGGTGATGGTAAAGTAAAACAGACTATCGCCGTATAAGCAGTAGCACACCCCGTAACCGTCGTCTTGCACAGGGCCAAAGCCGCCATTGGGTGTTTCAAACGGTTCATCGTTTGGCGGGTGAAATTTGTCTGGCAGCTGCCGCGTCAGCACTTGCGACGTGCTGAGCTTCCACTTTGGCTGCATCGCCGCCTGCAAAAACTCGGATGCCACCTCAAAGCCGGTACTCGCGCAATAGAGTCCGAAGAGGTGGCGGTCAATGCCGCAGCCAGCAATGGCATCACGTGATGTCTTCTGGTGTCGTTCACACGCAACATGAAGAAGTTTTAATTTCGCCTCTGCGCTCAGCAAAGGTTGCTCCATTGCCCGCACAAAGGCACAGGACTCCTCACTCACAGTGCGGATGGTTTCAGTGCGCCCTTTGCGGTACATACGCATCGAAGCTGCCTCGTATGTCTGGTCAAAGTGGCCCTGATCGCGGAAGTACGCGAGTTGCATTGCCATCTGCACCCACGCGTCAGGGCTGCAGCGCTGTTTCTTCGGGAACCCCTTGCCGTAATCGGCAAAGCGGCAGACGCGGATGTCAACATCTTTTATTTCGCGAATGCACCGTTCCTGCACGCCTTGGACAGCACGTTTCATCACGGCATCAATGGTGAACCGAATTCGATTAGGGACAAACACTTTAAATTTACCATCAGCCAGTGCCACTTCATCTTCGGGTAGTTTTTTTACATGCCCATCCTCTGTGTATAACTCCCTAAATTTATCCGAAGCGTGACTGTACTCCACCACATTTGCGAGGGTCAGGGCATCACCCCATGAGTGTTCCGCATGCACACCACAGTGGCCGCCCTCCGTGACAATGACGTTGAAGCTCTTGTCGCACCAACGATTGTGGCCGTTGCCGCACAAGTACATCATGCTCTCCTCTTCAAGGGATTTTGGTTCCATTTCATCAAGGCAAAGTACAAAAATGGCTTCTTCAATCACCCGCAGCGGCTTCACATTGTAAGCATTGTTCACAAAATGCTTGTCGCGAATGTCCGCCCACTCCGCACGAGGGGCGGTAGTGAAGGCAGGAATGAGCGCCTCGACAGGGTCAGTCTCATCCTCGGAATGCAAGATAGATTCCAGCGCCATCTCAAGTTGGTACGGTGTGAGCTGATGGTTCGTCAGCGGGTGTAACACCTCAAGTTGGTAAAAGCGACCCTTGTGGATGACCACAATGTGCTTAATTCCCTCGTGCTGAACCAACACGTCCATCTCACGTCCTGGAATACGGGTGGTGTTAAAGATGTAGCGATACTGATTCATGTCAAGTGGAACAAGCCCGCTAAACTGCGGTGGAAACGTGCGCTTGTCGAGACTTTTCTTTACCTTAACAAGGTTGTACACCAATGCCGCCGCACGGGAAGCTTGAAGCGGGGTGGGCAAATATTTGGCAAACGCCACCCCAAACCAGTTGGAGTTAATGCAAAGACTTTCGCGCTGAGCAAGGTATACATACTTGATCCACCAGTCCGTCATGTAATTATCTGCAAGTAAATACTTTAGCCACAAGTATCTCTGCAACTGCGGCCCCTCATTCCGCAGA